GTCCTACACATTGTCCTACATCTGTCTTCTAAGATAATACATTCACATAAACATAAACCTTTGGGTCAGGCATGACTCCTGGCAACCAAATGGAATAGCTCCATGCAGTATTTATAGAAAGTGTCATTTTTTTCCCTAGAACTAAAAGGGAATAACTGTGCCAAAGTCAACAAGCTGGCTTCCAAAGGCAAGATTAAAACTCAGTTTTCCTGTTCCGTGTCTAGCACTTTAACTACTTAAGGTTTTCTTGAAATATATTCAGTAGTAAACAGCAGCTTCTGGACTGGCAGGAGGTACTGGTGGTATCAAAATAGGTGAGATATTGAACATTAAAATGCAACTTTTGTATGTGCACAACAGGAATATACAAAACAAGTGGGGTTTGCATTATAATGCCAAGTCTGTCATTTTCCATGCAGAGAGCTCCAAATTGTAAGCAAGTTTCTTGATAATGCAAATTTATAATGATTTGTTCAAAATTTAGTCCCATGTGTCCTCAGATAACTGAGACACCATTCAAACAGAGGCAGATGGACATATCTAAATTTGTGTGGCAGAGTTAAAAACCCAAAAGTTAAATATAAGGTATTACAAGATATAAAAGAAAGAAAAGGATTGAGTTTACCTGATCTGAAATTGTATTTTGTAGCTTGCTGCTTGATTTGAATGAAAGATTGGGTGCTGCTGAGAAATAGAAGGCTCTTGGAGTTAGAAGAGCATGACCTGAAATTTGGATGGCATGGATATTTCTGATACAACAGTTTAGATGTTAAACATCATTATGTTATAGATTCCATTTTGAAAATAGGGAAAAGATACAAACTCTGAAAACACCCTCAAAGCTTTTTGTAGATGAGAAATAATAGGCAAACAGAAGTAGCTAACTTATCTTGAGGTACTAGAATTTTGTCAGAGGGAATACAAAATAAAATCAAGAGAACTGGAGATAGAAGAATATAATAGCCAATGCTTTTCTATGTACAATTATTAAGAAGATTTAAAGTAGACAACTTAGTTTATGTTTTTCGAACATTGTAACATTGGGTTTAAAATAGAAGTGTGTACAGATAATGAACATGTAATTTCTAAAATATACAAGTTTCTATTGAAATTAAAAGCAAAAGAACAAATGAAAGAAATATGATAAAGGCAGCAGAAATTTGGTTATGATATACAGATGGAACAAGGGGGAAATATATGGTTGAAAGCATTGAAATTTACACTACGTTATAATCTTCAAGAGAATTTTTCTAACATGATGTACTGTTGGTATACGTCACCAGAGAAATTGTCTAGAATGTATAAAGCCACTTCAAATTTATTTTGAAAATGTGGAACAACAAGGAGGAACATTTTATCATACTTGGTAGACATGTAAAAAAGCTAGAAATTTCTGGATTCAAATAATACCGTAATTCAGAGTATTTAAAAATTAATATACATCTGAGACTAGAAATGTTTCTTTTGGGATTGATGGACAGTTAGAAAAAGTCAAGTAACTTTGTTTTTATACATAACTGCAGTGAAATATCTGTATGCACAAAGATGCAAAGGTCTGGCATATAAAGGAATGGTGGGGTGAATATAATGAAACTAGCAGAACTAGCAAAATTAATGTTTTGCTTAGATAAGTATTATATTAATTAGTGACTGGAAATCCCTGATAGAGCTTTTGCTGAAAAAGGAAAAGAAACATGAATTTATGATTTACGGGTTTAACTATCAGACAGGATTGCTTATGGAAGAAGGAATTTATGATATAACTGTAGAAAAGAAGGATAAAATCTAAATGCATTTATAACCACTGACAAAAACCTTTCTTTTTCTTTTTTTATTTTCTCTTACTGTTCTTTACTTTTTTTGTTTCTCTTCTAAAACTTTTATCGTATTAAAAATCAGTAAAAATATATTAAAACAAAAGCAAACTAACACACAGTTCGACAGGAATCAGGGTGATTCTCCAAAGCAACAGAAAAAAAAATCCCACAGCATTGTGCAACCCACCAAGCCGACTGACAATATTGCCAGACTGTATGATGCAATTGGAGGAGACATCCACAGCACCATTGCCCCTTTTATGATGCCAGGGAAGATGTCTCTTGCCAGCATGCCACTCAGATAATTGATGTCAGAGGTATTGCATAATCTTGTGTTAGAAACCCCCTGTTGAATTGCACAACTCACTGCAACAACTAATAGGTATTGGATTTGTACAGGGCACTGGGAAGGAGACTCCTGCTACACCATGAAATCCATTATGATTGTACTATGCAGTGGGAGTTTCCCTCCCATTATAGCATCCATCCTTCATTTTATTCCATAACTCCCAGTTAATAATATACAGTAATTGAGAGTTATGGCAGAGTGGGCAGTGAGTGGTGAGGAGTGAGTAGAATGATACAGTGGAATGGAGTCAATTGATACATGAGAAGTGTGCCATAAGGCAGGAGTTTCAATTTCTCATACCGCTTTGTCTGTCCTGGTGAGCTGTTAGGCAGAATACTTTTAAACATGAGTCTAGTGTTCTTCTGAAAGATTTTATTTTCTCCATTTTTAAGTCATCAAAGTCAATGGTCCAATAAACAGAAGAGGGTAGGGAAGATAAAAATACTGAAACAACTCCTGGGATTGCATTTTGATCAATTTTACTGCCTTGAAGGGAAAAATATTGATCTTTCAGAGAATTTTAAATGCCAAAATGTAGCTTAGATTGGGTCCTCATCACATGTGGGATCTAAGCAATTGTAGCTATTATTCTTCATCCCAAAGCTTGTCTCCTGAGGGAATGAAGCACCATTAAAAAAAAGTTCTGCATCTGATATCTCTTGAAAGGTAAGACTTAGAGATTCCCACTCATCATAGTAAATATTCCACTGGAGTTTGCAAAAGCACACCGACAGCAGGACTAAACCAAAGTAAATGGTTAGTAAAATCTTTGTTTATGCTTATTGTACAACTTTACTTAAACACTATGTTAAAGTATACACATACAGTGTAATGGGGCATATTCCTTTGCAATAGCATTATCATTATTATGCTATGAGCTGCATTGTAAAATTTATCCTAGACCATAAATGAAGCATCACTAAGAACTGAAACAGATAATGTGTTATAACTGGATCATTAGATTGTGAACAGGCAAGTGGTTTACTGGATATCAATCAATCTGGTCCTGCTATAATAGTAAATATTTTTGTTAAATAAGAAACATAGAATTGTCAAAGAACCTGAAGAACCTCTAGTTCAATACACTCCATAGCTTGTAGTTGGCTAAGCAAGCAGCAAAAAAATAGGGTCTCTTATCAAAAGTATTTTCTATAAATTGCAAGAAACAAGAAGTACTGTGACATATATAGTTCTGGGGTTAGGAACGTTTATAAAACATCAGGAATGGTTTAAAATGGTGGGTTTGAGGGAGCAATGCAAAATGAAGAAAAGGTTTCAGTAAAGCTGTTTTGATGGAAAATTCTTTATAGCGTAGTTATCGGATTAACTTGAGCATGTTGCTGTATTCTCTTCCATTCTCCTTTTCTTCCCCTTGTACAGTTTTACAAGATTAGAATGATGTTTCTTATATATAATTAAAAGCATTTCTCTGAGCATTTTACAATCAGAAATATATCTTCATTCTTTCTACTTTCTTGAAAGTATTCAGAGAAGAAATGGTCCCCCTAGCCTTTTCACTTCCTTTTTTTTTATTATTAAATGGCAGTTTGTTGACTGGTATGGGAAAAAGTCTCCTTTCCATCCCCACCATTAATGCATACAGCATATATTTAGTAGGAGGAAAAATAAAAGGGAGGTGATGTGTGATCTTTAATGTACATATGTATTCCAGATACAACATTTTCATAATGCAAAAGCCAGCAGGGTTGGAGCTCAAATTTATTCTTAACAAAATAATCTTAACCCCTTTTCCATGTACTTTGAAAATTCTCTATATGCATGGACACTTATATTCCACATTAGAAGAAAGCATTCCCCAAACTAATTTGCATGCTGATCTCTCAATCTGTTCAGTAGAATACATTTGCAAGAGAAGTTGTTTAATAATGGAATAAGCAGAATACATTGTATGGAGAATAAAAATATCTTTTCTTGTTTAATTATTAGGAAATCAGAGATGCTTCCAGCTGGGATAACAGTATGTAGCTATTCCCTTTAAGGCAGGGGTGTCAAACTCAAGGTCCGGGGGCCAGATCCAGCCAGCAGGATACTTTGATCTGGCCCACAGGGCTGCCCTGGAAACAGTGAAGGACTTGCCCACAGTGCTTCTGTCAGCAGAAATTGGCTCCTGATCTCTGTTTTTGGTGCCACGGCCTCCTGCGACCCTCTGCCAGTGAAAATGGAGTTAGGGAGGGCCACGTGCTGCCCTCCTGAGTTCTGTTTTCACTGGCAGAGGGTTGGAGGAAGCTGTGGTAGCAAAAAACGGAGCTTGGGAGCCTGTTTTTGCTGGCAGAGCACTCGGGCCACCACAGCCCGAGGTGGTGTCCTCGGACAGGACAGACATCAAGCTGGCCTTTCCCTCCCTGGCCACACCCACCCCAGCCCACTAAGGTCAAATACAACCCTGATGTGGCCCTCAATGAAATCGAGTTTGACACCCCTGCTTTATGGCATGTACACGTTCAAATCTCATCTCTTTTTTGGGGGGGGGAAGGGACAGTTATATTTCCACCTCTTCCAATCACTTTATTCTGTTATCCTATGACTGAAAATAGGATAAACAGTTGGAAAAACTGTACTGTTTATTGTTTGGTAGTGCTAGATTGAATTGATTTTAGCATAAATCTGGAAGCATCCAATGTTTTAACTGCCGGGGGCTTTTCTGATGCTTGGCAGTTGTGCAAAAGGCATTTGACTATAAGCTAAAGTATCACTATCCTAAGCAAAATAAGGATTCAGAACTATATAAATCAGTAGGGTTACATATACTTCATACATCACTCTATTTTGCAAATGTTTTATCCATAAATATTTCCCCAGAAATCCTGTTTATTTTTCCTCATAGTAATTTTATTTCTTTTACTGATTTGTTTGTCCAAATGAGTGCTTAAGGTGAAAAAATGATATATAAATGCATGGCCAGTCAAATTATAGCTATGTGCTGGCATCAGTTAAAACAATGAAAGTCTTTGGAAAGAACTGCCTTTACTCCATAAACATTCTGGGGAAAAAAACCATCCTAGGATGTAACATGATATTTCAGGTACCTCCTTTGATTTCACCATGTGGAGTCTAATCTACAGAAAGTTGAATGTCTTTGTTCATGAAGTGTTGCTCTGAGACCTGAGCCTGGTCTTCATATCCAACCAGCAGCTAGGTTTCTCATTTAGGTGTTCCAAGGCCATTTTCTCTATGCAGAATCTTCTTGGCTAATACAAGCTGATAAAGAGACAATGTAATAGATATTCTGAAGTTAAGTTGTGGAAAGGCAGGCCTTTGAGGTCATTGCCTTAACACTCTGGAATAGATGGACCTCCAAATTAGGAGGTCTAATAATCAAATTCTTTTTGATTGGTGTATTATAAACGCCTGGTGATTACCTGTGATAATTCTGCAGTTTTCTTGGCAAGATTCTAGAAACAGTTTGCTGTTATCCTGTTCCTAGGGCTGAGGGTGGCCTAAAATGACTCAACTAGTATTGTGCCTAAGGCAGGACTAGAACTCACTGACTTCTGGCTTCAAGCCTGGGGCCTTAACCATGGCTCTAATCTCTAGGAAGGCTATTATCACGATAAAAGTAAGAAAGTCAGTCAAATGGTTCTTTCTTTCTTTCTTTCTTTCTTTCTTTCTTTCTTTCTTTCTTTCTTTCTTTCTTCTTTCTTTCTTTCCTTCCTTCCTTCCTTCCTTCCTTCCTTCCTTCCTTCCTTCCTTCCTTCCTCCCTCCCGCCCTCCCTCCCTCCCTCCCCCTCTCTCTCTCTCTCTTTCTTTTTGACAACCTTTTGGATAGATGGTGCCATGAAAATGGGGATAGCAGTTCAAATCAACCAGGTCTTAATATTAGATTATTGCTGTCTGATGCACAAGAAGCTTTTATTTTATTGTGCTGCAATCCTCCTCTTGTAATACTTATCAGTTTGGATAAGATGTAGCATACATCACTGAAAGCGCTGGACAGATTGATATGGGTGTGTTTTGGGTAATAATATTTTTATAGAAAATATTATTCAAAAAATATTATTCAAAGACCTCAAGCTAACTACGGTGAGAGAGTTCATCATTTAATAATGAAAAGGAAAAAACAAATCCCAGTACATCCTGATTTCCAAATGTATGTTCCAGAAACTTATTTGAGATTTTAAGCTGTGAAGTTCAGGTTTTCATTTATCTCAATATGGAAGACAGAAAGAAAGGGGAAAAAGACAGCTACAACTTGGCATCCAACTGTGTTCATACAAATGCCATTCATGTTAATGAGATTTTAAATTACATTTACAGCAATTACAGTAAATCAGTTTAAAACCTCTGGCTGTTTGTGATAAAGTAGCCTACCCAGACCTTTGCTGGAAAATGAATTAGTACCCTATAGAAAGGACATTAAGCTCAAGAATGCTATTTTTAAAGAGAAGACAGCGTGATCAGATTATTGCTTTTTGGAAGTCCAGGACACCTGACTTGGAGATGTATTTGTCCAATCACATGTAAAACAATTCTGAAAGGTTAAATGCCATTTATTCTTAATAACAATTATTCTTGTTTTCACTTTCAGTAGTTCAGCACAAACATTTTCAGCTAACATAAAGATCATAGATGCCCAAATACTGTAGCTTTATTTTGATTAATGGAACAAGATATTTAAATCAGGGAGTCATTGGGGTATAGACAAAAACACCCAACAACCCTTAAATTAATTGTAAGTGAAATCTAAAACTAGATACTGAGTTTACAGAATAATAAATTAACAGTATTGTAATAAATGGTACTTCAAGATATAATTTTTAAAATATTTACGCTAACTTAAAGCTGATGGTTCATTCATGCATGGTCAAGGATAGATGGATGGAGCAAATGTAAAGATATTACTCCTGTAGACCAGTTGCTTGTACACATTCACAGCTACTGTGCAAAATTTCCCCTGTTATGCGGAATAAGACTTTTTTAACTAATAGGAAAAAATTAAAATAAGACTCCTTAGGCCAGCTTGGAGCATATGGTGTCAATATAAAAATGAGTCATCATTCAGTATCCTCATAGAAAAAGCAGCAGAACAGCATATGGCGAGTAAATGTAATTGACCAATCATTATAAAGGCAAAGCTGACTAAATAGTCTATATAAAAGTGTTGACAACAGGTTATTGAAAATGGTTATGCAGGAAAAAAATGGTTGATATAGAGATTTTCATCTAGGCTGTTTAAGCCATAGTCATCTAGATTCTGGGTTGAGTTGTATTATGTAAAATGTTTGATCAAGATAAAATTAAATCTCTGGTACCCCTTTTTGCTGATATTTTTTGATGATGAAGATTGGAAGTCAATTCTTTACATATTTCTATTTATTCTATTCAAAATTTCTATTTTAACAAAAATTCTTTTCTTTTAACAAAGCAAAAGCAATCCAAATTTTAAATTTTAGCAGAGTAAAATCAATACAAATATTACAAAATATATAAATAAAATAAAGAAGGGTAGTGAATAAGAAACAAAACAATAGAAGGGGCTTTGCATCTTTTTGTCAGTGTATTTTGAAGCCATAAAAGATCCAGTTATCTAACAGACTGCCTCATTATGAACTTGTTCAGTTGTTACTATCTGCGTTAAAATGTTTTGAATATAACTTAAGGAGAAGATATTTTTTCTTGAGCTTACAAGGAAAAGCTCTCTGTGGTGCCATACCATCTTGATAAGGAGAGACTGTCAACATCACTGTGTGGATGAAGGTTCTCTTGAGTCAATGATGATGATGATGATAATGACATGACATGAAGTATTTCCTTTCCAATGGCACCAAAGAAATTAACCTTCAAAAGATTGAAAAATTCCTTGCATGTTATCCTTGAATAATTAAATTCTCTATTTCACACAGTAATATTGTAAAAACAGAAAACCATTTCCTTAAACTCATGCAAAAACTTACTAGTTCAAACAGAAAAACATATCCATTTCAACCAATTTCACAATGCATTCAGTGTTGTTTTATTTTATAATAATACATCAATTTAATCTAACAGTATTTACCACAGTTGCTCTCATCTCTTAACTTTTAGATGTTTACCACAATGGATTTATAATTTCTTTAAATAATCACAGTTCTATCTTGTCCTTGAGAATTTTTAAATAGTATGCATTCAATTGGATCAATTTATAAACTACCATAATGATCAATCTTTATCCATTATTATCTAATGTCATTCCCTATATTTTTTATAATTTCTTCATTTTTGTAGGAATACCAGGAACTAATAGCTAGTGCTAGTGCTATAGCAATAGCAATAACAATAGCTATTAGACTTGTATATTACTTCAAAGTACTTTACAGCCTTCTCTAAGCAGTTTACAGAGTCAGCATATTGCCCCCCAACAATCTGGGTACTCATTTTACCAACCTCGAAGAATAGAAAGCTGAGTCAACATTGAGCCAGTAGAATCAAACTGCTGGCAGTCAGCAGAATTAGCCTGCAATACTGCATTCTAACCATTGTGCCACCACAGCTCTTATATAGAAGATATAATTCTAATATAGAATTAATGGAGCAGGATTTATTCTGATTCTAAATCCATGCATCTGTGTTGTATTTGGTAGAAAACAGCATTTTTAGGCTTATAAATGATTTTAAATATATTTCTCCTTATGGTCTAAAAGGTATCAGGAATGGGAGGATTATTAATACTACATTTTGTTATGTCTTTGTTGTTTTATAATACTTGTTTTATCTAGCAAGGCCTTTTAGAGAAGAATAATGTCAAATACTGTGGATGAGATCTTCAGAAGACTATACACTCTCCAAAAGTGTATTGATGCATTCTACAGAAAACAGAATAATGAGAATCTTATTCAAAATCCTATTTACGTAGAGAAGAACCAAATGCTTATGATGGCACATATACATATATAGTGTTCCCATCTAAATTAAATTAATATTGGATTAATATTGTATAGATAGCAAACACAGTTCACACTAGTAATTCACATGTTCCTTAATGGCGTCCATTATTCTTTCTTCTTAATAGAAAAGCTTTATTATGAAATCGTGTGTGCCTGAGGAGAGTAATATGAGTGTAAGTGCACTTATCTTAAGTTATTGTGTGATTACTTAAGAAATGCTACCCCAAGTATATTTTTTTCAGAGAACACTATGAAACCAATAAATAAGATAGCTATTTTTTCTCTTTGGTTTTAATTCAATTTCATCCTGCTCAAGTTCCTTTATATTAAAACTAGATTACTCAAATTGTGGCACTGTAAACTCTAATTCATCGTATTAAGAAGTTGCTCTTTCCACACTTGACTAACATAGCTGAAATGCATGCATAAATTTAGAAATGAACTTATTAATAAACCTAGCTTGGATCCATTGATGTTTCCTTTTCTTAGTTCTGCAAAAAAGGTAATTAATTTGATCTGTCATCATTAAACATACAAATTAGAGTAGAAGAATAAAGACACAGTCCATTGCCTACTGTGACTTCTTCGTTCTCAATGATTGCTTATGCAAAAAATAATCTATAATAATCCTTCCCACTATAACTGTATAGTGAGCATCCATCTCATAGAGAAAGTGACCTTGATGGTATTAACAGAAAGTTAATACCCAAATGAATCTTGTTACTCTGCTTGGTTTGGGGCACATTGAAACAATGCATGCAGTCCTTCCTTTAATGTTATTAACATTTCAGCAATTGTCTGACAAATTTGTTTGCAATACCAAGATTTCTACCTGCATAAAAATGTTCAGGTACCTGAAAAAGCCATCTGTTTCTGACTATGACAATGTCAAAATAGTAAAATAAAGAACATATAAAGAATGGTTGCTGGAACTGGGTATGTCTAGTCTGATGAAAAGAAGTACTATGGGTGGCATGATAGCAGTGTTCCAATATCTCAGGGGCTGCCACAAAGAAGAGGGAGTCAATCTATTCTCCAAAGCACCTGAGGGTCAGACAAGAAGCAATGGGTGGAAACTAATCAAGGAGAAAAGGAACATAGAGAAGGAGAAATTTCCTGACAGTTAGAACAATTAATCAGTGGAACAACTTTCCTCCAAAGGTTGTGAATGCTCCAACACTGGAAGTTTTTAAAAAGAGATTGGATAACCATTTGTCTGAAGTGATGTAGGGTTTCCTGCCTAAGTGGAGGGTTGGACAAGAAGACCTCAAAAGTCCTTTCCAACTCTGTTATTCTATTCTATTCTAAATATGTGTTGCAATGTCATGACGGAAGCTATCTGTATCATGGCATTCAATTAAATATGTTAGGGGTAGATTTCATCACTTTACTTACTCCATAGAAATTAAAAATATTCTCTATTTGATATTTCTGGAAAAATAAAGTTGAGGTACAAAATAATTGTTAAACTCAGTTTTCCATTTCTCTTTCTTTCAAAACTGCCTTCCATACAAAACCACCTTCCAAATGCAAAATTCATTTTAATGAAGTGAGATACTTTGCCAGAGAAAAGATTGTAGCTTTGCTTTTATGCTTGATTCATCATTTAAAATGGGTTTAACCTTTGTCCTTCTTGCCTAGGAGTCTAAGATATTTCTTTTAAAACCTTATGCTTTCAAGCGTTAATGAACAAAGCATCTTTATAATATAAAACACAATTAAGAATATATCTTATTTAGCTCAATGACTTGATTGCATGTAACTATATCATGTGCATGTTTATAAGATCAAGCAATTTTCTTACTGCTCAATAAAGCTGTTAATAATGTGGCATTGAGATTAGAGAGTGGTTTGCGATGAAATTATATTGATGTAGAGATATTTTCATTGAGGAGGGCAGATATTTGCTAATAAATAGCATCCTTAAGCATCTTTGTGAAAATTTGTGGAACATTAAATTCAGTGTTAAATAAGTGTATGGACTTAAAAATGTAACATTGTTCAGTTTCTTACTATTGACAAAAGTATGTGATGTTTTCAAGATTAGGGCACTCTCAGATTATCAACCTATACTTTATCAAACTGTGTTTAGAAATCTAAGATCAGAAGTTTTCTATAGCTTTCCAGATACACAACCTTTTCTCTATATACACAGATATGATTCATCTAGCTGTTCTACTTCTGATTTTCCCTCTTAGTTTCTAAAAGAAGAAAGAAAAGAAAAAATAATAAAATAATAAAAGAGTAAGAAAAATATAAATAAAAGCTGCTGTAAACCTAAGGGTCTTCTGGAGATTTTCTGTTTCTGGATTCACTCAAGCGTTGTTCAAATCATTCCATACACTTCAATGGTTACATTCAAACATAGTCAGATCAAAGGTGTATCTAGCTCTGCTTTCCATAATGGGCAGTCAGAACCTTACGCTGCAGCTGGCACATTAGGTTTATAGCCTAAATCCTCCAAGTGAAAATTTATACAATTTTATTTGCAACAGTATTATCTAATATTATATTATAGTATTAGGTGCCATTAAACTCAGTGACTTCTGAAGAAAGATCTATAGAAATTAACTGCATATTCTGGAATTAGCTTGAGAAAGAGCATAGTACAGAATATTTGTAAATATTTTTGGCGAGAAAAATTAGTGGCAGAATTATAGCTTTGTTAAAATCTGCTATTGAACAATGAGAAGGAAGAATCTCTTTCCTTTTTTCCAAATAACATTATTAGGAATTGTATAGGTACAATTGTACATGTACCTGTACCTGTACAATACAGGTACTTAATAAATTATACAGATACAAACTAACACAAATTACCAAAAAAAATAAAAAAGTAAAATGGAAAAAATAAAAAGTGCAGAAAAATAAATAATAAATAATAGAGAAGATAGAACGTCTCTTTCTTATATAAGTGGTTTTAAACTTTGAAAAAAATACTTTTATTTGGCTACTATAATGAGATGTATGCAGACATGATATGACTAAAATGATTGTGTGAATATTAATATTACCTTAATACAGTACTCTAATTACAAACTGATTATAATTAAATAATCCATAGAAGGGTTGTCTGAGGGGAAAGAGAAAAAGATATATAATTTAAGTATGTAAAATGTCATTGAAGAGAAATTTAATAAAATGGCAGAAGAATTCATTTTGTAATATTCTTATCATTATTTTTCAATTGAGTAAAAAGAACAAAGAGATGATATCCTAGATGAATGTCATTTTATCAATAGGAGCTCTTGGTGTTATTTGAAAGAGCTACATGGCCCCTTTTATAAATATTATTAATTAATAATGAATGTTGGTAAGAATATGTTCCATCAAAGATTTTGGAAGATGGCACAAAATGTACCACAAAGTGACTGAAGTGAACAGATGGAATGATATATCATTATAGAAGCACTTGATCTCTTTCTCTTTCATCTTTGAATATGATATACAGTATAATGCAACAGAAGAAAGAATCACTAGCAGATTACATATACTTTGTAATTTCCAAAGGGTAATCATCAGAACAGTTGTTCTGTCCAACGAAACTGACCATTTGATATGGCAGCATCATAGATTCTAAATTAGACATAGCAAAAGAGTGGGCGCCTACATGCTCTTTACATGGCATATTACACTCTGATTTCCTGATGTAAATATAGGAATGAAATATGTTTAAAGTTTGGATATGTTTATTTACCTTGTTGAATTCATGAAGCATCTTTGTACAAAGTTCTGGAATTTCTAACTAAATATAAAAATTGACAGTTCATAAGTTAAACATTTACAGTACCACTCATTTACAGGATCTACAGAATTTCACAAAACCAAGTATTAACACATTTTTTGGACAGAACAACTACTCTGATGATTCCATGTGCTTCGTCCTTTAGTTTTTGGATGATAAAGTTGTCAGTTAGACTTGTCAAGAAACTTTTGATCTCCCACTTGGCGCAGTTTGTCTCAGCTGATGTCAGGGTAGTTAGTCCCTCATTACCACTGAGGTGTGTTTCCTGCACACCTCAGTTAACTGATTAGCAAAAGGACTATTTCCTCTGCTTGATTGTGTGGCCTGTAGAATACACTTATAGCAATGTTTCTTTTTATATTAACACAAGTGCATTAAATCTACTTCCTCATAGCATTATCTTATAACTAGATAGATATTATCTTTCAATGAACAAAATATATGTTCCTGCATAGCTTTCTGCACAGCTCTCTAGGAATACACATACACACATGCACACACAAACATACAAACATATATACATGCATCACATGTACTTTGGGCCATTTATTTTCCCTTAGCTGTAGACTGGAAAGTTAATAAATATGTTTCAACCAACCCACCAGACTGGATCAGTGTGGTAGATTATGATGCATAATCTTCAAAAAAAGCCTTTTATCCTCCAGTGGATTAACTCAAGATGATAATAATGATAAAGAAGAAAAAATAGTTTTCTTGATTAACTATACTTAACATGACCATGGTTTATTGAAAATAAAACACCTGAAGCTAGATTAAATTATTACATCAAGGCAAAAAGAAAATGGCCATCACATTTTGCAAAGAAAATATCCTAGAAAT